CTACTGCAGCAAATGAACAACCGTCTAGGTACATAAAGCAAAGGATCCCTTCCAAGATGAAAGATTGCCAAGACCAGCTTGCCTCATGCGACGAGCAGATCGAGGATTGTACTCGCAGCATCTCAACCTCTCGAGAGCAGATTTCGAGCATAGAGCGGGAGATCGGTGGCGCTGATGCCAAACGAGCGAATTACCAGGAAAATATCCGTGTTCGACAGCTTGCATCCCAGATAGCCGAAGCTCGACAGAAGATCGCCGGGTTTGATTTGGAAGAAGCTTCTAGGGCTCGCCGGAACTTTGAAGAGAAGTACAGCGGCGAGAAGGAAAAGGAGACCAAGTTGCATGGTACCGTAAGTTTGCCTCACGTTCGTTCGTACTTTTTCTTGATAAGTGGTTAGTGCGCACACCTTCAAGGAGAGTTGAAGTCCTTGCAAGCACAGCTAAAGGCTTCGCAAAAAGACATGAAGGAGTTCAAAGACATTGATCAGAAGTACACTGATCAACTGGTCAAAGTCAAGGTGCGTCAAGCTACGCGAAAGGTGGGGCGTAACTAATAAAATCTTCAGATGTCTGACGTTGCGAACAACGATCTCGAGCTGTACGCTAAAGCACTAGACAAGTACGCCGCCTTCCTAATGATGTTGCGTGTATCTGATAACAGCAACAGCGCCATCATGAAGTACCATGGTTTGAAGATGGAGGAGGTCAACACGACTATGCGGCACCTGTGGAATCGCACCTACCAGGGAACCGGTAATATTCGCGCTTTCGGGCATTCTTGTCAGACCTGACATGTTCCCAGACATCGACGGCATCAAGATACGATCGGACGTTGAAGGCGGAGCCTCCAAGCGATCCTACAATTATCGGGTACAGTAACTTTCTATGACTTGAACGGACCTCTCATATATCCTTTGTAGGTCGTCATGACTAAGGACCAGGTAGAGATGGACATGCGTGGACGATGTTCGGCCGGCCAGAAGATGCTTGCATCTATCATCATTAGGTTAGCGTTGTCAGATTCGTTTGGTCAGAACTGTGGTATTCTTGCGCTGGATGAGCCGACAAACGCCTTGGATCGAGAGAACATTGATGCCTTGGCGGCTAGTCTTGTTGAGTGAGTCTCCTTTCGTCGGTGTTTATTCCGATCTCTTATCTTCACTCCCACCCCAAGTATCATCGAGGAGCGCAAGAACCAGTCCAACTTCCAGCTCATCATCATCACACACGACGAAACCTTCCTTGCCAAGCTTGGTCAAAACAATGTCATGCAGCATTACTGGTGTGTGAAGCGTCTTATCAATCGATATGCTATATACTCATTGCCCTTTAGGCGAGTCACCAGGGATGCTCGACAGAAGTCAATTATCGAACGCCAAAATTTCGGCGTGTAACCGCCTGGAGATTTCATGTTATCAACTCTATTCTACGTACGTTAAATTATCGGACATTGCTGTATCATCTGTATCACCACCCATTTGCATGCTTCTCGTACAGAACCTGGTGCCATTCACCCTGGTGACTCTGTGGAGTCATTCGTAATGTTTGCATTACCTGTGCCTTGTGAGACAGGTGTGTTCGTAGATTGTGCCACCTGACCTGCGAGGCGGGAGAGAATGCTTCTCGAAGTCCCGGTCCTCGGAATGCTGTTTGGGCTGACTGAGGTATCCGTTCAGCCCGGAAGGTGAACGATACCTTGTCGATACGCACAAAGCTACTGAATACTAGACGTTCTGACGAGAGAGATTGCACTGCCGAATAGCGATTTGACGTGAAAATTAGTAGGTGTCAATTCCTGCTTTCAGATTCGATTTATACGCAACCCTGGCGCCGAATTGCAGTGGGTCTGATCTGTCGTACTCTACGGACTCTGGAAAACGTTCCACGACGTGTCAAACGCTTTATGGATATAGTGCGGCTTTACTTTATATTCACACTTAACACGGATAGTGGGATGTTCCATTTGTGAAGTCTACCAAGTGACAGTGGCGAGTTCTATATAATGCTCCAACGCTAGCGCTAAGCGCTTTCCCCAGGATCGGGGATGGGTGTCTTTCCCAACAGCCACAGACGCAATGGGAGCTCCTTCCACCGACTTCGGTCGTTCCATCTCGCGCCCGGTGTCGAAGAAGGCGCGCCCCCTCCCCTCCGTTCTGTCTTTCCCACACCATCGCCCAATCCTTCTCGCAGTCGCTCATTCTTTTCTTTCGCCAATAAGCCGGCAGTCGCGAAATCAGTCTCGGTATCGCGTTCACGTCTCTCTCGTACATGGCTCGTCCCACGGAACGCATCCGTGCCCATCCCCCCAGGGTTCATCATCGCCCTTAGCGTGATTCTCTCTCTTCTCTTCATCGTCATTCTTGCATGCACGTTCCGCGGGGCACAGGCGGGCGAGCCGCCGTTCAAGAAACTGTTGGATAGTCTGGCGAAGACTACCCCCGGAGTGAGTTCAAGTTGGCATATGACGGGAATTGAAGCTCATTTGGCCTTGTCAGGTTGTTTTAATAGGCGATAACGTTGACGTGGACGTGGATGAACCGTCTGTTACCATTCGTTGGTCGATTGTGGCATGCGGGACGGACTTTATGCTCCCAGGCTCGAACGGCACCCATGGAAGTAGTCTTTGCGGACTGCCGAACATGGCGTTATCCATCTTTGTTGATGGGTTAGCACTCACCTTGATCGTTGCAGCAGCTTGGACTGATTGACATCCAGAAAGGACACCCCCACAGCATTGTATGACCCCGCTGACATACCGTTCAACAAAGATACCGGATTGAGGAGAAGGTTAGTACCGGTGTTATGTTCTGTTAATGTTTCGCTGAATGGGTTCGATTAGCGTCCAGAACTTGGTTCAGTTCGACTCGGACCACGACCTTGACGTTCACAAAGCGCGTTTATATCCCTTTGACACGTACTTTTTGTCAAGTAGCATCCGTCTCGCCTCGCCGACGTCCAATGCCAGTTCCACAAGCCCTTCCTTCTCACCTGTTTCTCCTTCGACTGCCCCAGAACAAGAAAAACCCATACCAATCCAGAGGCTCGTAACACTCGACGTAGTAACAAACTTTGATATCAACACACACGATGTGGAGAGTTACGAGCTCGATCCAGCCGCTGGCAATATTCCTACACGGTAAACTCCCGCGTCTTGTTATATCGTCGTGCTCATCAAGATCCAGGGACATCGACATGACTATTCGTCGACCAGCTGAAGCACGTACCATCTGCCTTCTTCTCTTCGGTGTCTCTTGGGTATTGACTCATGTGTCCATTGGGCACGTTCTACTTGCAAGACGTCTCACGGCCGCGAAGCCCGTGCTGAAGCATCTCGCTGCGGCTGGTGCGATATTGGTGGCGCTTCCTCACATCAGAAATAGCATGCCAGACGCACCAGGATTGGACGGCTTTCTTATCGGTACGTACCGTTCTATTTGAACGTCTGCTTCGGACTGAGAGAGGATGTCTGCAGATACAATCGGCTTCTTCCCGCAGATGATCATCACTGGAACGTGTATCGTCGCCCTGCTGCTCATTGTTGTCTCTCGAGAACTCTCCAACACCTCTGACGGTCTTATCCATCTTCCGAAGCTTTCGTCCATGCCGCCAACACCGCTCCCAGTGTTCACCGGTGAAACAAAGCCTCCAAGTCCGACCGTGGGCACGTCAGGGGAGATGACGAGGTATGAGATGGATAGGGTGATGAAGCATCTCAAAGGACAATACGTCTTCCCACCGCTTCCGCCTGTTCCTTCTAGTCCAACTCGCGGGGTGCACAGAAGGGTGATGACTGTGGTACCCCGGTCAAAGAATATTTAGTTTACTATCTGACCGTCACGTTCTTTTCGAATTCTCACCTGCAGTGTGGCGTGCTTCCGTACGATCACATTGTTGCACTCTTTACTTACCTACACTCCTTAACAACCATTCCCTCCTTTATCAGACTTGTCTCAATCGGACCACAGGTGTACATTAATGTGTAAAACCTTCATGCAGACTTTACAGTTCACAGTCCGCAACCAGTATACTTACTCAGTGTAGGGTCGTTCAGTGGTGATGAGGTATCTCTATTGTGGCGCATGAGACCTAACTTTAACTTTCCAGCAGCACCACGCTACAATGGGCACAGCACTAGGGTGGCGCAGTAAACCTCCGGGGGGTGTTAGTAACGGTATTGATACCGACCCCCCAGGAGGCCCTGGTTTTGAAACCGTTACTAACGGTTTCGATACCGGCACGTGCTTTTACCTCGTGATGTGGCGCACCGCTCGCCGCCCTCCGCCCGCCCTTATCCCGCCACTTTCTGCTTGCCTGAGTGCCAGCGCGCCATCACATGAATTTGTCACGTGTTGGTATTGAAACTGTACTGAATCACTACTGATACCTCAGCCGAGGTTTCAATACCGTATCAATACCGTTACTAACCGCAGTAAACCCGAGGTGTATCAAAACCTAGGGTTTACTTCACCACCCTACACAGCACTGAGCAAGCAACACGGTCCAGAGAGTGCCAGGAAGATAGGGTAGTGGAAACAACCTAGGTTACAGTACCAAGAGGTTGTTTCCCAGTAAATTACCAGTTATTTACCGGTTTGTAACCTAAGGCTGTTGGAGGTAGGTTATTTACCTGCACGTGACATATCCACGTGACGTGTGGCGCACGGAAAAAGGTAGTATGCACTATATTCAGAGGCAAGCAAAGTTACTATTGCCATTAAAATCTATCTGACTCTGATGGGACTGAGGAACTGTGACATCTGGAGCGGAAAGACTGAAAACACTTCACGGCTGCTGCATGGCACTGCCCCGCGGAGACGTCACGTGAAAATATCACGTGCAGGTAAATAACTGTTCTTAACCAGTAAATAACTTGGACCTCTGGGAGGGTAGGTAAATAACGGTTATTTACCACCCCCGAGGTTATTTCCACGACCCTACAGGAAGAGTTATAAATCTTAAATTTTAAAAATGAAAATAGCGCCACGGCACGAGAGTAAAATTGATGAGAGTGGGATTCGAACCCACGCCCTTTCGGACCAGATTACGTCATGGCCAAGCCATGTGGACCTTAGTCTGGCGCCTTAACCGCTCGGCCATCTCACCATGCTAGAAGAGCTTTTAAGGTACTAAGTAAGTAGCCACCCTTTCAGGTTGGCCCAGCTCGAGACGTGCTTCACTTGGTCTCATTTATAGATCATGCTGCGTGTCAGATCTTTACCACTGCCACCCTGCGGGTTCTGCGGGTTTGCTGCGGTTGTAACAAGTACTTAAACAGCTCGACTCCCACATCCATCACCCAATTATCTCTCATGCTCATAGTACCCGATACCGAAGTGAAGGCTACGTCCAAAGCTGACGAAGATGCCCACTTTGCAGAACCTCCACCAGTATGCATTTCCACAGCACGTCCGACGTTGTACTGATTGCGGCTATCTAGCCTGAAGGTCCTCCCTCATATGAAGATGCTGCCAGCACAAGCGTTCATCGCGTGCAAGTCCCGCACATCTAATACCCACCAACTTTGTCCACGTCCATCGCAGCAACTCGTCCATCAAGGAGACGTGTGCCATCAAGAGTGCCCTCGAGATCCCGCAGGCACTGCTCCCGCCGCTCGAAACAGGCGAGACGGCGCGCAAGAACGTCTCGATAATCTCCAAAAATGGCAGCGTGAACGGGACGATTTATCTCATGGAGGGTGGACCCCGCGCAGACCTCTTGTTGAGATCCCATAACGGTTCTGCGGAGGCACATGTGGTATGTCGTTCAATAGTACCAGCTTCGTGTACGTGCTCAATCCACCATCAAGTACCGTACGTCGCGATCGGAGCCCTCGTTCCGTCTTGACGTGTCATCGCACAACGGAGGCGTGCGCGTATACATACCGCGCGATTTCCAAGGCCCATCGCCATCACGCACGGCAATGGAGGGGTAAAACTCTCGGATCAAGTAGCAGCAGCGACATCGGCCTTTACTGATGTCAATAAAGTGACGCGGTGCTTCATCGGAGACCTGACATTGTGGAAAGAGGGCAGCTGGGACGGAGACGAGCTCATAGCGGAATCGAGGAACGGCGGAATCAGAGTGTACTTCAACGACGAGCCTCCGCCGCCGACCACAATGTCCTTCTTCTCCAAACTCTTTTCTTAATAGGCGTCTCGGTCTGCATCGTGTACTTGTATATGCATAGTTGTATCTGTTAATTGTATTAGCTTCATAGTTTGCTCCGGATACGATTGAGCAGCAAAGCAGCATCGTCATAGTCCAACTCTTCGCGCGCCTCGTACTCCATTTGGTGCATCTCGCGATGCGTCAAGGTAACATGAGGCTCGCGACCTGAGCGTCTTCTTGGCTCCCAAAATCGGGCCGGGATTATGTGGTAGTGCACCTTTACACGCGTGAGAACGTGGACGTGGCGCTTAGCAGACGCGTCGACGTACATGAGGAACGGCCTGAGCGTATTCTTGATTGCACACCACGTTTAATCCAGTGTTATCCAGCGCTGTATCGTCCCAAGTTCACTTCACCGAGAAGAATAAGCGCACTGCACACACATACCCAACGTCAACGCGTTCGCTACTTTCGAAACAGCAGCCCCAACAGCCGCTGCATAGTCCTCCGGAAGCTCCGACAGTCTAGAGTAATGCGCTTTGGGTATCACCAGCGCGTGTCCTTCGCGGAGTGGCAGGATATCTGCACCATGTAATCAATTCAGCGTGTTACGAATTCGGTGCAAATTGACAAGACCTAAGATAGCAATGACCATGTCTGTTTCATAAATCACGGCGGCAGGCGCTTCTCTTTTCAGAATGCGACAAAAGGCACAGTCCGGGTCGTCGTTCCATGCAGAGGGCTTTCTATCCACATGGGAGTCAATAATGAAGGAAGTCATGCTGTGGCTGTGCGGTCACAGAGATGATTATTGTTGTACGGTACTCGAGCTATTAGTATGTGTAAAGGACCCAGGATATGACCGAGGCTGTAACAGCACCAGCAGCAATGCCAGACAGTATTGCCCGGTCCCAAAAGCTCGACGTTTGCAGCGACTCGGACAGCTTCAAAGTTTCCCGCTCTCTCTCTGCCTTGAGGGCAGCCTCTGCAAGGACCGTCAGAACGCGAACCTGTTCCTGCAAGTCCTGTTTAACATCACTGATCCCGGCCTCCACCAGCTGCCTCGTCTCCAAACTCAGCTCCTCCGTCTTCCGCTCAAACGTCTGCGCCAACCGCTTCCGCTTCCACGGCTCCACGAACAGAATCGCCGAGATGAACACGAGCAAGTTGAGCGCAAGCGCGGCGAGCTGGCCGTACGTCGACGCGCTGCGGATTTTGTCGGACCACACCTGCTCTTCGTGATAGCGGCCCAAGATGGCCCGCATGAGCTCGCTAAACTCCCGCTCTTGGGCCGCCTCGGACTCGTCAACGACGTCCTTGGCGCGGGCCTCCTCCTGCTCGAGCATGTGGTCCTCCCGAACAAGAGCAGTAAACCGGCTGACGTCGTGGTCGCTCCACATCGACTTGCGCTGCAGCAGGTCGTTGACTTCACGCTGCGAGTTTGACCGCCGCGACACCGCCTCCTCGTATCGATTCTTGGCCGCCCGGGCTGCGAGACGTGTATCATTGATTCGTTCCTCTGCAAAACACAATATATTCAGCAACGACGTCGAAGCCAACGATACGGATGCGACTTACACGTACCTTGTTCTACCACCTGCCGTTTCAAAATCTCTATCGCCTCATAGCCAGTAACCTTGTTGAGCTCCGCGCCGAGTCGCGAAAAAGTGATCTTGGTCGTAGTGGTGAAATCATCCGCTTTAGTCCGTAAATTGATCAACGCGCGGTCAGAGATCTCTGCGAGACGGGATCTGACTTGTTCCATGTCATAGTCTGGAGGAGTTGACGAAGACGGGGTAGGCTCGGAGGGTGAAGACGATGATTCCGAAGACGTCGACGATGCCTCCTCACGAGGCGGTGTGCTATCAGCAGACGGGGGTCTTGTGGTTCGTCGCAGAGACGTAGTGGTAAATGAACGCGACGAAAAAGCCCGCGACGAGCGCGAGGCCGCTCTGCTGAGCATGAAGGTCGGTGACAAGTTACTCTCGCGTACTCCCGGCACGGCAATTGGGGTGTAATATACCAGTTGTTGATTATTTGACTCAATGGCTACAGAATCTATTCCATCTCTATGATTCTATATGCCAGTGACATTATGTATATCCCGCCGCGTACCCATGTAAGTAATAAGTTGTATGTACAGTAGTACTAGCGGAGGTGAGTGACGTTAAAACAATGCACGAGGGACTGTGGAGGTCATAAATGAGACAGTAAAAAAATCAAGTCGTCTAACTCCAGACATCGAGGAGGAGGCGGGATCGCTCCTTCAACATCTTCACCTCAGCAGCACCTTCAACCTCGGCAGATCCACCCTTGGCCTCACCAAGGATTTTGGCCAGAGTCTCCTCAACAGCTTTCGCCATGTTCTTGGCATCACCGCAAATGTAGACGTAGCCTTTGCCGTTAATTATACCCTCCGCAATGTTCGCCCGGTCGTCCCAGATCAAGTCCTGCACGTAGATCTTGCTGCCATCGGACCTGAACTTTTCCCGAGAGAAGGCGCAGTGGAGGGTGAACTTGCCCTTGAGCTCCTCTCCATACTTTGGCCACTCCTCAGCGTACAAAAAATCCTCGGTCGATTTGCGGCAGCCGTAAAAGAGTGTGATCTTGCCCCAGTCGTTGAGCGCATCGGGTCCGTTCTTCTCCACAGTTCGGCGAGCGAGAGCGACTCGCTCCTGGACAAAGCCACGGAAGGGAGCAACACCCTAAATAGATCCGATATCAGTCAGACTGCGATAATCAAGGAGAAACGGACGTACAGTTCCGGGACCAATCATGATGACGGGACTCTTCGGGTTAGTGGGAAGACGGAACGTAGACCTGCGTACGTGAACCGGTGACTTGTAGACAGTTTCCTGCCTGTAAGCTCCACGAGGTCCTTCGATGGCGTAAGCTGGAAGAACAGTGTTGGCAACACCGGAAATAGTAACGAGAGGCGCGGTCTCTCCGTTGGACGCATGCTTGAGGTTCAATAAAAAGTTGGAACCGACACCGTAGACCCAGCGAGTAGGAACCTTGTCGCTCTCCGACTTGTACTTGAGAACAACGCAAGTAACATGGATAGAGTTGGGGAAGAGCTTGGGGCTGGAGGAAATGGAGTAGTACCGGGGCTGCAAGCGAGGAATGGAAGAGACGATGATGTCGAAGGGGATCTTCCAGACGGTGGTATTGTCCTTGTTGGGGATGCCAGTGATATCGTTACCAGCCGCGGTCTGGAGGATCTCTCCGACCTTCAAGCAACCGTTCGCAACAACGTTGTGGTAGGTGTCCTTGTTGGTGTTGACCTCGCGCATGAACGCCTCGGCCTCGGGAGTGGGTGCGAACTTGGCGAATGTACCAAGGATCTGACGGCCGGCGAGAGCGCTGATATCAATGTAGTGGCGGAGGACAGTGGCATACGTGGTAGGCACGGGAAGGGGACCTTGGCGAGAGCGGGGTCGAGCGACTCGATGCCAATAACAGTGTCCTTCTTGTCGTAGAGACCGAGAGCGCAAAGGAGACGGTCAACCTCGAGCTCGGCGTTGGTGGGCCAGACACCAATGTGATCACCGTGTTGGTAGGTCATACCAGAGCCTTCGATGTTGAGCTCGACGTGCACGCAGTTCCGGTCACCGACGTCTTGGAATAGTTCGCGAGAAACAGAAACGGGGGCGGCGAAGGGGTTCTTCGCATCATGGATACCCTTGGTCTTTGTAAGAGCGCGAGCGGAAAGTTCACCTGCGGCGGAAATGAGTAAAACGGGGAGAGGAAAAATAGAACAGGACAGCTTACCGAGGTAAACCTTCTCCTGCGGATGCGATGCAAGTTCAGAGACGGCAAAGTCTGCGCTGTCACCGCCTTGGCCCTCCTCGACGTTGAGGGCCTTGGCGAACGCATCCCACATGCCATCTTTCCACTCAAGGTAGTCCTCTTCCATGCTCTTGTCGTCATCACCCTCGCCACGCTCGCCGATACGCTCAGCACCCATCTCCGAGAGGTACTGGTCGAACTGACGC